GATCCTTCAATCATATGACTAAAACGCCAGGTGTGTTTTCTTCTCTCTCCCAATCCTCAACATCCCAAATAGTTACCCTGGCTAATGGTTTTACTCCTATTTGTGGTATTGGCCATGTTGAACTTATATCTTTATCTTTATCATCTATTTTAAATGACCCAAATTCCCATTTAACCTTATGTCTACTAGTAGATTAATTAAGTCTCTTAATTGTTTCATCACCTTTTACCCCTCTTCTTATATGTTTTAGGATCTTAAGACAGGGATGAAAATTGGAGGACATAAAGCTGATAGACTGTATTACCTTCATGGTGGTGTTTAAAAGTAGCACTTTAATCTTTCCTTACTCCTCTCCAATGGCACTATAGGTTTGGTAATCTATCTTTCAAGGCTCTTAAGTTACTTGTTCCATCATTGAATCATCTTTCTTCTTTGGATTGTGAGTCATGTCAATTTGGAAAGCATCACAGAATTTCCTTTAGTCCTAGGGTTGATAGTTGGGTTTTAAGTCATTTTTCTTTAGTTCATTCAGATGTTTCGGGTCCAAATAAAATTGTAACGTATAATTATTACAAGCATTTTGTAATTTTTGTTGATAACTATTCAAGGATGCCATGACTTTATCTTCTAAAAAAAAGAAGTAAATTGTTCTCTATTTCTCAAAGAACTCATGTTGAGATTTGAACTCAATTTGGTGTTCATATTAAAATTCTCCATTTTGATAATGCGAAGGAAGATTATTCGGCACCATTTTAATAATATTTTAGAGCAACATAGTGTAATTTATCACACTTCTTCTACTTACACACTACAACAAAATGGCATAACTGAATAGAAGAACCAACATTTACTTGAAACTTCTTGGTCCATTATTATGGCTTGGAAATCAATCACCTTTTTTAGTCTTGTTTCCTACTTTATCTCTTTTTCCCCTTACTCTTAATGTTTTTGATTGTATATGTTTTGTTCATAATTTAGGGCTTGGGTTGGACAAGTTAGATGCATATGCTACGAAATGCATCTTTCTTGGCTATTTCAAAACCTAAAAAGGGTATAAGTGTATCCCAACTCTCATCATTTCTTTGTGTGTTCAGATGCCACTTTCTTTGAATTTATTCTCTTCTTTACTAGTCTTGATGTTCCTCTCTTTCTTCCAATGCTCCCTCTACCTGTTCCAGTTGAGGGCCCCATTCCTACATTTCTCATTGTGTCCAAGCCTTCATCTTCTCTAGTGCAGGTTACTATTGAAAGACCACCAATCACACAAATGTATAATTACAAGCGGGCACTGGCTCCTCCTCCAATCCATTCCTCGTTGACAGACCCAATAGTTGTGCCTCTTTCTTCTGACCTCGATCTTCCCATTGCATTATAAAAAGGTAAACATAGTTGTACTTCTCATCTTATTTTCAATTATGTTTTTGTTGCTCACCTTTTTGCTTCCCATCAACAATTTATCTCTTTTATCCTATATTTCCACCCCTAGGAATGTCTAGAAAGCTATTAACTCCCTAGGGTGGCACCAAGCAATGGAAGATGAACAGTCTGCATTGACAAACATCACACATGGGAGCTTACCACTCTTCCTCTTAGAGTAAGCATGTTGTTGGATGTAAGTGGGTGTATACTATGAAATATCTTCTAGATGGCAGTATGGAAAGGTTGAAGGCTCGATTAGTGGCAAAAGGTTACCTTAAGTTGTATGGAGTTGACTACACAAAACTTTTTCTCTAGTGGCCAAGATTGGTTCTATCCGAGTGTTGATCTCTTTACCATTAATGTATGATTGACCTCTCTTTCAGCTTGGCATTAAAAATTCTTTCTTACATGGTGACCTTCTTGAGGAAGTATATATGGAGCAAACACCAGGGTTTGTTGCTCAGGGGGAGGATGGTAAGGTTTGCAGACTGAGGAAGGCAATCTACGGGCTGAAATAGTCTCCATGTGAGTGGTTTGGCAGTTTTAGTGAAGCATTAAAAGACTTCGGTATGAAACAATGCTAGGGTTTGGTATAGATTGCTTTACTTTTACCTATTAATAATTTGTTAAATCTTATAGACTTATGGGTAATCAAAGCATATCAAATCAAATTCAAATATCCGACATCCTTAGCAGATTCAAATTTGAGTTGATCTTTGATCTTTGTGAGATCCATCAAATCATCAGATTGGATATAGATTAACATTATTGGAATTACTCCTATCCAAATCCAATCTGATTCATTTGCATCCATAGCAAGTTGGGCGGGTTAAGCCTAATTTAAGCCCAACCTAGGCCTAACCCTAAGAATTGGGTCTAAGGCTCAAGCCCAAGCCTAATTTGTCCAATTCAGGCCTAACTRCACTAGAGTTTGATGCACTTGGGTTAGGCTCAAGTTGAGAGCCAGGCTCATGTTGCTAAATCAACCCAAACTATAATTTGGCATACATGTATGTATTTGTATGTATATATGCAAATGTCTCTACATGTATATAGTTGTACTAGACTCAAGCTACCTAAGGGCAAGGTTCAAGTCCAACCCAAAATATAGAAAAGGCCAAAACTTTTGGGCCCACCTAATATAAATCCAAGGACCAAAAATCCAAGCCTAGCTTGTCTTAAATTGCAATCTATGTTAGCCCAGGCTTAAGTTGGCATGGGTTCACCTTAATAGACCCCTATGGCTCCTTTGACCACTACTTAGATAGAAAATAGTTTTCCTTATGAACTAGTTTATCTTTCTATTCTATTTCCATCGATCATTAATAAAAATAAATTTATTTATCACATTTATTTTTTACATGATAAATACATACTTTTATTTAAAATGACTATATTTTTAGTAATTCTATTCTTTTATCTTTTTTAAAATTTTTATTTTACACATTTGACTTGAAAGGTTGAATCACAAACCCACCACTTGAATGAGAAAATGGTTTTTTGATAGTTTTTAAATTTTGYATTTCATTTTTACCATTAATAAATAATTTTTCTTGTTTATCATACATCTTATTTAAAATTTTCACTTCTTTGCATATTTTATAATTTTTTTTTATTTTATTTGTTTTATTTTTTATTTTTTAACCATGACACCATGGTTGACCCATTTAATTCGATTATTTAACTACTTACCTGCCATAAAAAAATGAAGGATGGTTTTGCTTTCATGATGATTTTAAATACATAGATTTTGTATTGTTAAAATTATTGGGTATTAATTTAATTAGTATAATTTATTAGTGAGAAATCAAAATACCTCAAATAAAGGGATATGATCATAGAGAACAAATTAACATCTTAAATATAGGACTAAATTAGAGGGAATTGAATGAAGTGAAAAGTAGTAGTTCAAATTATATTTTTTTCCTCACAGTCAAAGTGTGATCAAATTCAAAAGTAGGGGTGTTTTAGTGAAGGAAACGGCTATGAAGCTTGCTTCTTGTTTAGAATGAACTAATAAAAGAAATATTTCAAATTACATTTTTACCCTCATAATAAAGAGTGACCAATTTAAATAAAACGTATTGACGAAATCAGATTTATGCAGTTGACCCCATATAGTTGGGATAAGGCATGGATGATGATGATGATGAATAAAGAATTACCAAATTCTAAACCATGGACACTTTAGTTAAAAAAAAAATCCTAATCTGGACCTATTTCCCACTTGGATTTGACTATGATTCTAGATAGACGTGATATTGGAACATCATAAAATGTGGTAACYAACCAATTAGGTTTTTATCAAAATTCATGGGAGGGGAGGGCTTTCCAGTGTCATGTCTTTCCAGTATCATAGATTTTTCCTCCTTTCCACTTTTAAAAGTAGTACAAATGGTAGGTGAAAGTTAGTAAATGATTACTTGTTTTAGATATTTAAAAAATAAATTAAAAATAAATAAGTCCACTTCTCTTGATTTTCATTAGAGAGCCATTTGGTTAAAGGTTTGTCTAATATCAGACCTTGTCCACTTGTCACAAATTTAGTGGACTTAGAAAAATCTCTTATGAAGTGCAATTGCATTGGATTGGAACTGCTTTTTAATAGCCTTTTTATCTTAATCAATAGAGACAATTTAAAAAGGGACCATGTTTCAGTAAAATTTCTCAAAAAAAATGCTATAATTATACTAACTGATTATATTGAGATTTGGTTCATTTAATCATTATTTCCTGTCATTTAATCATCATTTAATCATTTTTGATTGGGTGAATTTTAATGAAAGGATGAGGTGGCATCTATCCATATGCATGACTTTTATAGTTTAACAATGACTATTACAATATCAATTGTCAATTATGGTGCTTTCTCAAAATACACATTTGTCCCCAAGAAATTCAATGACCCTATTTGTAATTTTATAAATAGTATAGATAAAGGGTAAATTACAAAGATCTCCTATACTATGGGGTCAGTGACAAATACCCCCCTAAAATTTCATTTGTGACAATACCCCCTTCTTTAGTGTTCCATCAGTTAATTTTAAAAAAGATTTTCATTCAGCTATTTATTTTTTTATAAATCTCCAAACTACCCTTTTTTGTATTTATTTGAATGATTTATGATTTGATTAGTTTTCTAAATTTAACATTGAAGCCCTTGATCTTGATTGTTCCAATAGATCGATCCTTGTAGATTTGTAGATGAATTAATTTAATATTCAAATGAAATGATAGAGATTTCTTTATGATAGATATTAATTTATGGATTTATTTGGTTTTTCTTGATTTATTGAAGAAAGGAGTGGATAATTTTTTTGTTATATTTTAAGTTGAAGAGAGCCATTCATGTGAGTGAAATGAATCATAAATTAAAAAAAAAAAACTTTTTTTCTATGCCAGTGAAACGGTTCTTGTCATTTTAGTTGATTTAGTTTATAGAAAATGATGGTATTTTTGGTCAATTAAGGTTTAAGAGAAAATAGCCAGAAAAAAGAAAATAAAAAGAAGGTTTAGGTGGACATCTTGATAAGTTAATGCATCTTGTCACCTAACTTAAAGGATTCACCCAAAGCTGGAGAGAGAAAGAGAGATGGGTTTGACTTTGATAGAAGCAAGACAAACAGTACAACCACTACACTAAGATAGTGGAGAGAGAGAGAGAGAGAGAGAGAGGAGATTGTTCTTGTGAGATTCTTCACAGTGGAGAAACTGATTACTAGAAGTAGAAGTTTATTATTTATTTAACATGTAGATAGGAAAGTCCGGTTACCATCCACCATCCAGTCTTAACTACTAGTCCCAGCACAAACAGGTCTATGCATACAATTAATGGAGGTTTTGCAAATGAAAGCAACTGCATATGTCTCCATTATCGTTCTACCAATCCTCTTCGGAATCGARAATTAATGATGCCAACGATTGGATGTCTGAAACGATAGCCGGTTGAACGCCATCGCTTCTGGTCCAATTCTCCAGCTCCAGCATTTCCTTGGGAATGCAATGACGTTGGCCAGAAGATGATGAAGGAAAGACATCGTTGTCACCACCATTGCTGCCTTCTCCCACCATTCCATAATCGAAACCACAGAGCTGAGAGAAGTCACAACCCAGAAGATCAGATAGGCGAAGCTCCTCCTCGTTGAGATCCGCCATAAAATTCGGTGATGAATTATCTTCAGCAGAAACAAACGATGCCAGCCCATTGTAGAATTCTGGCTCTACTACTTCTAGTGTTCTGTGGGTCATATGGTGATCATCACCACCAACCGTGGGAGCTACTGTGGTGGCAAAGTCTACACTGTTAATGTGCTCAATTTGGTCTTCTTGTGCCCTGAGATAAACTTTGGTGCACCTTACTGCCTTAGTCCGGACTATAGATGATTCCTTTTCAGTCGCTGGGGGTGACCCAATGAGCTTCTTCTTCATCTGTTTAGACTGGTTTGAGTTATTGGGAGTCAAAGTGGAATTGGATCCTGCTTTCACCTTCTTTCCTAAACTGGTATTCCAGTAGTTCTTGATTTCATTGTCTGTTCGACCAGGAAGYCTTGCAGCTATCAGGGACCATCTGCAGATATGCACCGAATGAATCAACAAAAAGGAGCTTTTCGCTTCTGGGTATACGAAGAAACAGAAGTACAAGAAGAGCACCTGTTCCCCAAGAGCCTGTGAAGCCTGATGATGAGGTCCTCTTCATCTGGGGTTATGTTCCCCCGTTTGATATCTGGTCTGAGATAGTTCAGCCAACGAAGTCTGCAACTCTTTCCGCATCTTTTCAGACCTGATCAAACTAAAGCAGTACAATTAAAAGTGAACAAATTAAATGCAAACAAGAAAACCCACATCTAGGTTCATCCTGGAATGAATCTGGAGCTGACCTGCTTTCTTGGGGAGGCTTCTCCATTTTCCCTCTCCATGAACTTTGATGTAATTCGTCAGGATTTTGTCTTCCAGAGCAGTCCAAGCTCCTCTGTTCAAGCCCTCCTTGGAACAGCAAGCGCTTTTCATCATCTGGGACTGCTAGGACTTGAGAACTACTGATCTCCAGCTCTTTCAGTACAGCTGAGTATGTTTCTGGGAAGGTCTGAAGAGCTAGAAACAGACGTATGAGGTTCCTTCCTATCAGTTAGTTGAGTGAGTGAAGTAGTGAACATTTATAGTTGGTCTCTTGAATTTCTTTATTACAGTATAGCTGTCTACACTCCAAAACTAAACTAATAATTTACTTCCGACTTCAAACTTCAAAGTCTCTGGTCTGTACCAGCTCCAGAGATAGATTTTCCTCTAAATTCCTAGTAAGTACGCCATTATCAACTAGGTTTCTGGAGGCAAAGTACAGATCTAAACAAAATAATATATACCATTGGATGGAGGATAGCGGGCTTTTAACGGCAAGGATGCCGATTGTTTTTTTGCAACCTCATGCAAATTTTGCCAATTAGTGGTTGACTCGGGGTCTTAGCCCCTTAACTATCAATATATCTTTACTTAAAACAAAAATATTCTTTACATGTTTCATATTTTTATTTGATGTTATCGGTTAGACCCATTTGACCTAAATGGTGGAACCATTTATCAGCTGCAGGGAAAAGGGTTCCATTTCTGGCCTTTTCCTTTTTTTTTTTTTTAAATTATTGACCTCAAGCCGTGGTGTTATAAAGCATGTGCAAGAACAATCCTCTAGGATCCATCAACACATTTGAAAATAAAACAAGTGAAAAAAGAAGATGAATACACTGCACTTCACCACAGAAATCTAAAATTACAGTCCCTATAATCTACAAGTAGCCCCCCTCCCATAAACTGCATCCTGCCCATCGATCCACGGCCAAGATTCATTTCACCTGTACGATGGGACTAAGAACTCTGAGGTGGGCTGAACAGTTATTCTCCGAAAAAAAGAAAGGGTTTTGGGTGGTTAGTGATTATTATATCTAAAGAAGTAAACAATAATTTTATAATCAGATATCTAACGTTCCTGTTTATGTCAAGCTACCTTTCTAGCACGTTCTTAGAAAGTCTGGTGTAGCCTGGAACCGCTCCACCTTCCTCTCTAATGGGAAAAAGTAGATTGACTGATCAACGAGAGAGGTGTTCATGTTTGTTGCATTTAAAGCAGTAAGGTGGTACAATAGATTAAATTAATATTGTGAGCTTTCAAGTTTTAGGCTCCATTGACTGGTCAATGGGGTCATTAAGTGTTTAAAACTCTTAACTGATTTGGCCGTGTTTAGAAATGCTTATTTTAAGGCTTATTTCTTATTACCAACGTTTTTAAAACCGACTCGGAGACTGAACCAGTCAGGGGTCCAGTTCTTGCGATGAATGGGTCTAACAAAAAAATAAAAAAATGTCAAAACTGTTGAACTGTTCAAACGATTCAACCGCCCAGGTCAGTGGTTTATAGATCAAATCAACTGTTTCCTGACTGGTTTTCAGTTTTTTCGGTCCGATCGTCCGATTCGGTCTGGTTTTGAAAATCATGCTTATTAGATATCAAGAGCATCCAGAAGGCTAGAAAAGCCTGACACGGTGTTTGGTAAAAAAGACAAAAATAAATGTTTTTTTTGCCCAAAACAATCTAAATAGGCATATATAGCTGGTTTGGCCAATGGAATCCGGATTTACTCTCTACATCAAATCCATAGCACATTGCAGCCACACATTGAAAACATCTCCCCTTGAAACATACAAGAAAAAATGGCTTGGATCGTTTGATTTCAATCCACGCCACATGAAAAGAGCATCTTTTTAAGATGTGGCTCAGTTAAGTCCTCACTATAGCATGGATTGAACTGGGCCATATTGTGTATGGTTAAATTTCATGGACCGATCTATGATATAGTAGATACAGTCATTTCTGTATAGTTTTGCAATAAATTTGTAAGATACTTTATTTAAAGTTTTGTCTATTTCACACCGTCCCAACCATATAATATAGAATACCTTGACTTGAGAGGGTGTGGTGTAATTTATGTGGTATCATCAAAATCATACCACAATAGGGTCCAACGAATTGAAAGGATTCACATTTTATTAAGCCACATTATCTAACAACCCCTAGGCCCAATGAATTAAGGCCTTGTTAGGTTTGTGGGAATAGGGGTTTGGAATCGAAATTAGAATAATGGATTATTYCAGTTTCAACTGTTTGGTTGGGTGGAATCGGAATCTCATTTCTATTCTTATTGGATTGGTATTCTCCATTTGAAGGAATGGTCATTCCCTGCCTTTTCCTTGGGAATGAAATCCCATTCCTGATGATTCCGATTCCCATTCGAGGGAATAGACCATTCTAATTTCGATTTTAAAGTATTTCAAATTCAATTACAATTCCAATTCTGACTACAAACAAAAGGGATCCTAAAACCATCCACGTTTTATTAAGCCACGTTACAGAACAACCCCTTAATGTTTCAAAAAGCGAGTATAACACCAACTATTGATTGAATGGTATGGTGCATTCATGTCAGTCAGTTGTTGAAAATATTGCAGTATGTGTTGACATGTCTGCTTAAACAATCCGAAACGGGTCTAAAATGGCATACACTAATCTCAGCCCATCACTAATTCTGAATATTTGTGTTTAGGTCATGTATGTGTGGAAATGCTTAAAAATAAGTGTTTATTTGGGCCATTAAGCACTTATTGATATTTGGRAAATAAGCCYGAAATAAGTGTTTATTTTAAAAACAAGGGCTTATTTTTTAAGCCCAGATTTCTATCTTTTTTTAATTATTCAATTTTTTTGTTCCAAAATTATCCTTAGTTGAATTTTATAAAAGCATTTTTATGAAAGCACTTTTACAAAAAAACTTTATAAAATCACTTTTATAAAAGTATTTTTATGAAAGCATTTTTAAGAAAGTACTTTTATGAAAACATTTTTACAAAAGCACTTGTATGAAAGCATTTTTACAAAAGCACTTTTATGAAAGCACTTTTACAAAAGTAATTTTATAAAAATTTTTTCATAAAAGTGCTTTCATAAAGTGTTTTTGTAAAAGTACGTTCATAAAAGTATTTTTATAAAGTGTTTTGTAAAAWTGCTTTTCACAAAAGTACTTTTGAAGGACAAAATAGACACGAATGCTTATTTAAGTGCTTATTAGAGAAAAAGACTACCAAATACCCAATATAAAATAAGTCTTTATTTTACAATATAAACACTTGAAAAAGTTGGGTGCCAAATGCAAATGAGTGCTTATTAGAATAAGCACTTGTTTTTAAGCACTTATTTTTAACTTTAGCAGTCCCAAACATGGCCTTAGTTATTTAGCAGAATTTGGCTATTGTGATGTAGGCTCATGGTTGTATTGCTTATTCTAAGTGCATATATGGCCCATTTTAAGCCCACTATTTGCAAATGATTTGGGTTGAAACGTGTACTGCACCTTAATCCAATCAACCTTGTAATTTGGGCTCTTCTTTCGATATTAAATCCAAATGAAATCAAGCTGTTTATTGGCTATACGTGCCATTTATTTGGATCTCTTAGTATGATTAACTCAAGTAATATATCAATCCTAGTAACATGTGTGGTTTATTAATGGAGCCTAATTAGATTTGCAATTGGGCTTATGTAGGTACTAGGTACTTGTGCTTGAAATTTAAACTATGGATTTGTATCTTGGTCTCTTGTTATTAGGCTGTGTTTGGTTACAGTGCAATTTTATTTGTATTAGTATAAATGCATGAGAGTGCAAATGAAAAAAATGTAAATTTTTATTTAATTTTGTAATGCAATCAAACAAAATAAGCTAAAATTCGAAACAAAAATAGGTCAGAATTTACACTCAAATCATTTGCACTGCCACAGTTTCACATCAGTGCAAATTTATTTGCATTGCAACCAAACACAGCCTTAAGTTTGCATTTTATTTGGGCTCAGGTCTAGCCAAAGAAATGAAGCCTTGACCATTCCCGACCCATTGACGGATCTGAGAGAGAGAGAGAGAGAGAGAGAGAGAGTAGTTTGTGCTCTTGATTCCAATTGACAGAGCAAAATATTAGAATAGACTATATGAGATAGGAGAGGGAAATATATTAGACTACCTAAGCACAATAACAGGCATCTTTAGCATGAGGCTAGGCTTGACTAAGTAGGAAAATCACATGTGACTACGAGAGACATGAAATATAGCTTAATGGGCCCTAAATCTTACTTAGGGCCTAGTCTAGCTCAAGGTCACCCCTAATTTAGAGAAAAAATGTGGTTTGTTGGTCCATGAAATATCTCCAGATGGATCCAAAATCCTTGGAGAAATCTTATAATTGGAAACCCCTATTTTTTACCATGAAAATACCCACATAACAAAAATTAATCTTATAATTAATCAACTTTGTTCTCTGTTTTTTTTGTGGGTATCAGATTATGAACTCTTTGTCTGGGGCTTATGGGCTCTAAATTTCACAACTTGAGTTGAAGGAGCCCAGATAAATGTCCACCTTAGCCTTGTCACAAGCCCAAGCTGAGCCTGAACCTAACTATATTAGCAGTTCAGGAGCTTAAGCCAATCTAGGCTCAAAACTTCAAGGAGATTGTCCCCAATTCAAGTTACATCCCAAGCACAGTAGTACATTGTTTGAATGGGATAATGCTAAAAATAAGTTCAATGTGATGGGTCAACTTAATATCATTCCTTGGTTTTYCCATCCATTTGCCAGAACTTATCCCCTAAACAAGAACTAGAGCAGTGAAATAATTATGATTTGCAACAGTTAGAATAAGAAAAAAGAATGGGATATTAGCATCTATGAGTGGTCTTCACCAGAACATGCTATGACAAGTTAAATCAGTACTAATTTTCTTTCTTATGTAGTGATTGATTTGAGCACCACAATCTAATTTCCCCTTCCCCTATTTAAGTGCTATAGAAAGATGTTTCTTAATGCCCTGATACTAGGCACAGAACCAGAAGGCAGGATACAGTATAGAAGATTCTCTCAATGTAGACAAGCATAAAGACAAAATATGAAATGAAATAATTGATGACAACAGAATCAGATCTTCTGAAGCTTCAAAATCTTATGGGAACTCATAACCTATATTGAATAGAGAGGATGGTCTAAAACACATCAAATATGAGCACAACCGAAAAGAAATAACTGAACAGAAGCATCAAACCACAAACACAAACAAATTATCAAATAGGATGAAATTACTCAAATCTGCTTACCTAGAAACTAGAGCTTCACTAGAACTACATGGATATGTGTCTGAATTTTGCACCAGTCATCTCCCTTGTGTTGTTCTTGGAAGCATCAAAATAGCTCTAATTTGTAGTGCATTCAGGTAAAGAAATACTTCTTATTTCTACTCTTATAGGGCCATTTAAACTTAGGAAATATGAAACTCAAGACTTGATCTGCTTCTGCAACCGGCCTTCTAAGTCTTCCAGTTACCAACCTGTACCACCAGTCTGGTTTGGATGTTTCTTTACTGATTGATGTGCTATTACCAAATTGTCACTCCCTGATCCATATATAGTTGTCTTACCCTTGTCGCAATCTTGCTAGATATGATAGTAATGAAGTTTCGCCTTACATCTAGAGTTTGTAGGTTACGAATTTCAGGCATTGTTAATGGAAGCTCCTTTATTTGGTTACACCTTATATCAAGTGTTTTCAGGTTGCAAAGTTTGGAGATTGTCAATGGAAGCTCCTTTATTTGGTTACACCTTGCATCTAGGACTTGTAAGCTCTGCAGGTCAAATATGGTTGGTGGAAGCACTTCAATGGAATTATATCCAATATCCAGAATTTGTAGGTTTTGGAGCTTGCCGATCACCGATGAGACATCTTTTAGGCATGTCTGCTTCAACCCCAAGTACCTTAGATGGATGAGTTTCCCAATTGCATGCGGCACCTCTGAAAGCTGTACACACTCAAGATCCAAGACTCTGATCAATTGAAGATCTCCAATGCAATCCAGCTTACTAATTTCAAGAATATCTGTATACTTTCCAAAGAGCAATACAGTCCGGAGGCCAGAAATTGAGAATATTGGAGGAATAATGGCAGAATGAATACCAACTCGGCGAGCTTCGGTTGGGCACTCACAATCAAGGCCTGTGTAAAAGTCAAGAAAATTGGCTTTCTTGGCATTTAACACGGCAACCTCTAGCAGAAATTGAGGGACACGGCATGATTTAATACTCCCATCTGATCTCAGATTTACAGATTGAATCAAGCTCCTGTGATGCAGCTGCTCTAAGTATTCCTCTGCAACCTCCTGCTGTGTCCTTCCATCACTTGGATGAATAAACCCCTCAGCTATCCACAGCCTCAGCAACTTCTGTGTGGGGATCTCATAGTTGGCTGGAAAGATACTGCAATACAAAAAGCACCATTTCAAGTGATTGGGTAACTGGTAATAACTCAAAGCTAGTGTCTGTAAACATCGTTCTGGGAATCGACTGAGATTATGATTTTCACTTTGAAGCACTTTCAGTAGATCAATTTGTGACTTTTCTTCCCTTGCCAAGAGCTCTCCTATTTCAACCAATGCAAGGGGCAGGCCTTCATATCTTGCCACAATGTTTATCCCCAACTGCTTCATCTTTGCCACATCCAAATTAGTTTTTCTGGTCATGAATATCTTCTTATAAAGCAATTCCCAGCTTTTCTCCTTGTCTAATAAGCGCAAGTCATGAGGATTGCTATTTGGATCAATATATAAAGCCGTGGCCTTATTACGAGTAGTGATCAATATTCTGCTTCCCTTCATCCCACATGGCAGAGCGCCTTTCAGTTCATCCCATACTTGATTGYCCCATACATCATCTAGGACTATCAAGTACCTTTTCTCCTGCAAGAACTCAGAGAGATTTGCCTCCAAATCTTTCTGACTCATCATCTCATATGTTTCTCTCATGGGTTCTGAAATTTGCCATGCCATGTTCACTAAGAGCTCTCTCCCTTTATATTTTTGAGAGACATACCCAAGCACGGCATTCAAAATGACTCTCGACATCATCATGACGGTAGATTCTCTTAGCAAGAGTAGTCTTACCTGAACCGCCCATGCCAACTATGGAGACCACAGAAAGTTGTTTATCTGGATGGATCAATCGTGCAAGCAGTCTCTTCACATCCTCATCCAAACCAACAACAGCTTGCTCTTCATAAAGAATGGCAGACCTTATTCTATCTCTCAATGCTTCGCTGATGAGCTCTGCTTCAGAGCTTGTATCTCCAAAAACACAAGCTGGTCTTCGCTTCAAGATCTTCTGAATCTCAACTGTGATCAGTTCCATCTTCTTGCAGAACTCCTTGTGGCCATTACTAGGATTTTTGTACTTCTCAATGAGGAAGGTGTCAATAACATCCTCTACACGGTGAGAAAAATCCATCACATTCCTCAACCAATTTTCCATACCCTCATCTCTCTGTTTTGCCTCCACATCTTTCAGAAACACTTGAAGTTGTTTCAATTCTCCTTCAATTGTCTCTATTTGCTCATGTACAACATGAGGAATACCTGCTTCTTTGGCAAGCATGTCAGAAAGTCTGCATAGAAGAAAGGAAACATTAAGTTCAGCCATCTCCCCTCCTTTCTCAAAGATGGTGAATCAGATAGATGAGAGCCTTCTCCAAATATGTAAACACTTCAAACATGGCTACCATTTCTCTGCCTCAACACCCACATGGTTGACTTTCTTGCATGGTGCAGAACATCTCATAGCTCTTTTGTTTACTGAGTCAATCATAGGTCTTTTGTTTACTGAGCCATAGGTCTTTGTTTATTGAGTCAACTCTCTCTCTCTCTCGGTTGGTTGAAAAACCAAAATCAGAATAGTAATTTTTATTTCAAGTTGTCACTGCTCAACAATCAAGTTCTTTTCTCTCAAGTGACTAATCATCCTATGAGCTCTTTAGGGAAGTTGACTCCTTCCATAAGCCGTGTGCTTGAGCATTCCTTATTCATCAAGGAACTAATGTTTGCTATTCCTTGAGCAAATACTCTGAGGATGAAAGGAACAAGTCTTGTATTTGATGGAGGGCCAGCTCACCACCCAGTGACAGGGCCAGCTCACCAACCAGCAACAGCTCACAGTAGGGAGGATCATGCATCATCTAGCGAAAATCATGCAAAGGATAACAAGATAATTCCATGCATTGGATAACACTGGGAGATCGGACGGTGGATATCAAGGCAGAAAAGGTGACAGTCTGGCCTCCAATTCAGAAAAAGGTGACACACGATGGGGGCCCAGGTTAAGAAACTACCTCAGATCTTTTAGCAACCAACTAAATTCAATGTAGTTTCTTGACTCAAACCAAAAATCCAGAAAAAAACTTTCAAATAAAGTGGGTTGTTAATTCTCTACACTATCATGTAAATAGTGGGTGACTTGTTACATGGTGGACATTAACTAAAAATGATAGCATTTTAGAAATCACCATAATTCGTAGTTTACAATTATTTTCTTTTTTTTTTTTAATTATTTAGACGGGCAATTTCCAATTGGTTAATGGTTAAACCACCTCACTCCTACCCAAAGAGTTGAATAGTTAGGTGGGATGATCTTCTCATAGATATTAGCCAACGTTCTTTGATTGATTTGGATCTACCTATACCGTTATTTGTTTGACCCGATCCGTTTGCAGCCCCAAAATTCCAACAGCCACCCATGACCCAACTGTGAACTGTGATTCTGTGAAAGCATTTACGCCCACCCGCCTCCATGCCCCCGTCTCAGTTTTCAATCCATCTACGTTCCAATACCTTCTTACCCTATTTTTCCTGTTTCTTGGTGATCAACACGAACCCAAGCAAACCAAACTCAAAACTAAATCCTACACAAAAAGAAACCCAAAGAGGAAGAAGAAAGAGAAGGAAGAAGCATCTGCAGATTCCCGAACTGCAGTAGTTCAATGGCAAAGAGAGACCCTGAGATCATCACAGACAAGGATGCTATGAGGAAGTGGTCAAGGTCCATGAGAGCCCAAGGCAAGTCCATTGGCTTAGTCCCTACAATGGGTTACCTCCACCAAGGCCACATTTCACTCGTCAAGGAAGCTCAGAAACACAGCGACCTAATTGTGGTCTCAATCTATGCCAACCCTGGTCAGTTCGCTCCATCTGAAGATTTGGCAACATACCCATCTGATTTCCAAGGCGATATCGAGAAGCTCAGGTCACTGTCTGGTGGGGTTTATGTTGTGTTTCACCCTCAAAACCTATATGACTATGGAACCAATGGAGATGAATCAGGAAAAAATGGCAGTAGCAATAGTTGCAGCAGTAGAGATGACAAAGAAACGAGAGGAGAGGGATCAGCAGTGTCGTGCATTGAGGAGAGACAATCTGGGCATGAGACATGGGTTAGAGTTGAGAGGTTGGAGAAGGGAATGTGTGGAAAGAGGAGGCCAATTTTCTTCAGGGGCGTTGCCACTGTTGTGACCAAATTGTTCAATATTGTGGAACCTGATATAGCCATCTTTGGGAAGAAGGATTATCAGCAGTAGCGAATCATCCGTAGAATGGTAATATTGCAAATTTTGCAGCTGGTTTTATAGCTTCATCAGAAAAATTAAATTAGCAATGGTCCTACACATGTTATTTGGGGTACTTCAAAAGTTACATCTGTTTACTGTAATGCTTACATGTTTGAAGCTTCTCAATTGTTTTTACAATATCCTTGCTTCATGGAGTAACTCATCTCTTAGACAAGAAGCTTAATGCCATAAAATGTTTCCCAATTGTCTATGTCATGCAGTCTTTACCCATCAACAAGTCATTATCAAKAGCTAAATTTGCTGTACAAACTGGTCAAGTTTCATGCAAAGAATTGATAAATTCAGTCATGCAAGAAATATCTGAATCTGGTGGTAAAATTGATTATGCTGAGGTATGGTTTCCACACATGCCTGTATTTTCTCATGAAGTTAGTACATAGTTGTACAATAAGAATCAAGTTCTTTTTTGTTTCACTTTGCTAGAATTTTTTTTGAGAATTAAGAAAGATACATGACCAACTAATATGGAAAACATATAGAAATTATTAGTAATCAGCAGAGTATTTTATTTTTTTCATGTAATCCTCTGTTTGCAGATTGAGGACCAGGAGAGTCTAGAAGCAGTTGAAGAGATTAAGAAGCCTATTGTATTTTGCATTGCTGCCTGGTTTGGTAAGGTTAGGCTGATCGACGATATAGAGATCAGTGTATAATATAAAGGTCATCTTCCTTTCAAGTTACAGCACAAGCTATCAGGTTAGAATATATGCTTAAAGTTCTGTATGGAACCATAACTTGATTCACAAAACTTTGGATCCTCAATCTCTGCTTAGAACCTTACAAAATTTTAGTACATAGGTATTTATTCTTCCTTTCTTTTGAAACATTTCAAACCAAATGTGGAAATAAATTTTAACTCTTATGTTCCTTTCCCCATGTTTACTGAATAAAATGCCATCTACAATCACGTTATTTTCATCGTTCTTTGATTATTAAACTTTCTTAAGCATCTCCTTTTTCAGTTTATGTTTGCTAAGTGTTTTCTAGAGAAGAATAAGTTTCTTGATAATCACTTTGGGTTAACCCTCGAAGCGACAGATACAATGGGTTAACCCTCAATCTATGTTTGCTAAGTGTTTTCCAGAAAGTTCAGTGCATCCTTCTGGTGTTTGAGCTTAAATTTACATTCTTGCTTATAGCAGAAAACTTCTGATTCAAACAGTTATCTTTATGCGTAAAAATTACCACTGGTTTGAACATTGTGACTTGACTTGTTTACTTCATCAGTAAGCGGTTCATACTCCCAAGGTGCTTGCTGGTCTTTTACTATCATTCCTTCAGCTTGATCACATTCTGTCAATCTCCAAGAATCATTGCCCTTATAAGATATAATTCTGCTCCTAGTTTAAGTTCTTCCTGCAGTCCCCACTCCCCACACTTGTATTGTTTATGGAGTTATTGACTACTGATGAGGCAGCTGCAGCCATGAAGTGTCTCCCTCTTGATCAATGCAAACACATGAAATAGCTAATTTAGATCGTCATAATTAGTGATCTACAGTCAACTGGGGGATCAACAATAGGAGCATTTCTGATAAATAAAATTTCATACCTATTCACTTTTACTTGGTTGAAAGATCAAGAGAATTTACTGGTATACTGGCAGATGGACAAATTATGTCGTGTTTAAGAGAGAAAGTACTACTCACCTATCTGTTCACTGATCAGTGCAAATTTGCAAGAATGTTATGGTTTGGCGCTCAGCTGGTGTGGAGATTAGGTGATAAAATCACCTTTCTTATCAATCTATTCAAGACCTTTCTTGAAGATGTCCAATACTCAGACATAATAAAGTGATGAAACTGCAACTTCTCATCTATATATATTTTGGTTAATATGGAAAACCCGAAAAGGTAAAATGGTAGATTTTTCATGGAATAACCTGAATCCAATTCAGGTATTTCAGAAGACAGAGGCATTAAAGCAACATCTTTGGACTGCTAGTTACCAGGCTAGTGCTCTGAGTGGATTGAACCCAAATATTAGAGAGGACTGCTGTCATGTTATAAGCAGGTGCCCACAGATCCAACTGTAAATCCACTCAATCCATCAAGCTTCCAGGACAACTTATCCTCAGTTGCTATACCACACAACTAGAAACTCACATATTGCTTGACTAGTACCCTCATCAAGAAGCCATCTTAGCTGGACATCGTCCCACATTCTGCAGTTATCAAAGAGCAGCACAATGCATTCATATTGTTCTCAGCATTGGTAAAGCATAGAAAAAAGCAAGAGTTCATAAGTCTTGCAACATGTGTTTTGATAAGTTGTGATAGCCTCCTCTCTAGGATCCATGGGAGTTGAATCATTGACAGAGACCACCATTGTGGTTTCATTTATTTATTAGACCACAGAAAGCAATGTTAAAATTCTG